GTTGTGCATCTTTTTCTTCCACACTTTTTCCTTCCACTCAACTTTCTGTTAACATGCTTGGATACAGCACTCTGTGAACAGCCAGCTTCTTTGGCAATGAATGTTTGTGGCTTACCCTCCTTGTGAAGGGTGTCAATGATTGTCTTCTGGACAACTGTCAGATTAGCAGCCTTCCCCATGATTGTGTAGCCTAGTGAACCAAACTGAGAGACCATTTTGAAGGCTCAGGAAACCTTTGCAGGTGTTTTGAGTTGATTAGCTGATTGGCATGTCACCATATTCTAATTTGTTGAGATAGTGAATTGGTGGGTTTTTGTTAAATGTGAGCCAAAATCATCACAATTAAAAGAACCAAAGACTTACACTACTTCAGTCTGTGTGCATTGTATTTATTTAATACACGAGTTTCACAATTTGAGTTGAATTACTGAAATAAATGAACTTTTCCACAACATTCTAATTTATTGAGATGCACCTGTATTATATATATATATATAAAATTTAATTTATTATTACGATTAAATGTAAATTACAAAATAGTCCATTAGAAATTAAGCTAATAGTATTTATTATTTTACTTTTATTTTACCTACTCATATTAAAGCATGATAAATAAATAAATAATGTAAAATTAAATTAGTAAAAAAAAATATATATATACACTTTTTTTTTTTTTAAATATGCAATGACAAAATAATATTACATTTAAAATTTATGACAAGTGTTTTATAAAATATATATAAAAACACTGAATCTTGTGTTGAAATGACTGACTTTCTTGTTTGGAAGTTTCTTCCTGGATGTGCTCTGTGGAATCCCTCTCTAGCACCTCCTGCTGGTGGACTGCATGTAACAATCCCTGCAGCTGCTCGCTCATTACATCCATGAGAGCCTGGGACACTTCCAATGGCAAGGCCTCTTCACAGGAACTGGAGAAACACACACACAGTTTTCTTTAACTGCAGCTGTACAACCTAGATTGTCTGCAGCCAGGTACTGTTGCTCTTACTGGCAGAGGGGATGTTTGTTGATACCAAAACATCCATATGAAATTGTGTTTTGGAGTTTCTTTACTATGCAAAACTGTTACATTAAAGCAATATTATGATGTAGCAAGAAGAATGCTTTGAGCACGATTATCTAAGGCATCAGTTTTCAAAATGTGAGGTTTTAAGAGCATATCATGGGAGGCATTTTCTCGTTCTGTATTTAATTATCAAGTTTATAATCTCACCTGGCCGCTATGAAACACACACACAGTTTTCTTTAACTGCAGCTGTACAACCTAGATTGTCTGCAGCCAGGTACTGTTGCTCTTACTGGCAGAGGGGATGTTTGTTGATACCAAAACATCCATATGAAATTGTGTTTTGGAGTTTCTTTACTATGCAAAACTGTTACATTAAAGCAATATTATGATGTAGCAAGAAGAATGCTTTGAGCACGATTATCTAAGGCTTATATTCAAAATGTGAGGTTTTAAGAGCATATCATGGGAGGCATTTTCTCGTTCTGTATTTAATTATCAAGTTTATAATCTCACCTGGCCGCTATGGCGAATATCTGCAGGAGTCTGGCAGCGGCCAGCTTCACCGCCCCACCGAGCTGCATGTGACCGGACATGGAGGCGGCCAGCCAGCGCTGGTTCACCAGCACACAGGTGTTATCAGTCAGAGTGGACAAGATCTCCAGGACGCCACATTTAATTATCACCACCAGATCCACTGGCTGATAGTGGAAGTTCAGAGCGAAGACTGTAGCTAACAGCAGGTGCTGATAAGAGCCTGAAATGAGACAAATCTATGTTAAATCACTACTTAATCAAACTGGCATATTATTAGAGTACTTGGACTATGCCAAACTATAAAAAAGTCAAACAAAATTTTAACCACAAAGCAATATCACAAATGAATGTCTATTTAAATTAGTGGGTAATGATAATATTGCAGAAAAAAAATCTGTTTTAAATGGTAAAATAAAAATAAAATGTAATTAAAATATAAAATAAACATCACTAATAATACTATTTCCCCAACTAAGATATGAAAAGTGCATGCGCATAGTACAGTAGGCATTGTATAAAGTCTATCATTTTATTAACATTAAAATGCACTGTAAAGTACAAAATGGTTCATTTAAATTTACTTATTATTTACCCTGTTTTATATTAGCTGCTCATTATTAATAAAAAATAAAATAATAGTCAAATTATATTAGTAAAACATTTCAGTTATAATACAAATAATGAAAATAGTACTGACATTTACATTTAAACTGAATATTTTATGTGCATTTACATAATATAAAAAGTATTTAAAAAATTAAGTATTTGTAAAAAACTAAAAATGGCCAAAAAAAATAAACATTTATAAAAAAAAATTAATACTTTGTTTGTGCATTTAGACAAATGCTACATGCTCGAGTAAGAAGCGTTACCCACCAGCCTGTTCTCTCTCTAGTGCCACTTTCTGTCTGAGCACACGCACCAGTTGCTGGTACAGCGTGTGAGCTGCAGACTGTAACTCCCTCTGAACACTGATGGGCGCCGACTGAGTCCCAGCCTAGACACAAACCAACATTTCAAACATCATACTTCAATGAGAATATAGGCCTAATCTATAAGGGAGATGTTCAAGTCAAGAAAAAAAAAATCATGCATGAAATTTGGAAAAATTTGTGATTTGTATTTGAGGAAATGTCATTATCAGTGTGTCTTACGGTGTAATGGTGAATCTTGTTGTTAGGTGCCGCTAGACTGCCGGTGATCGGGGCTCCCAGACCAAAGCAGCCAGAGAGGAACTGCAGCTGCACTGACTGCAAGAGGCCTGGAAAACGAGGAGGCGCTAGAGAGCTGACACTCTTTTCCTCCATCTCTGACAAGAAAGAGGAAATCTGACACAAGGCCTCCAAACGAACCTGGATGGAGGGTATGAAAACAACTGCGATGTGTCTCTACATCTAGTTATTGAAAGTAAAATGGATCTGCAATGGATTTCCCACCTGAGCTCTTTGGTGTTGCTGTGCCATGGCTATGGTGATGGCTTTGGGATCCACATGTGCACCTCCATCTTTGTCCACCAGAGAAGAGGTTTGAAGGAGGCTCCTACACAGGAAATGGAAGACCTGGCCCAGGATGGGTGTGCCACCTCCGCCCGGGCACAGCACAGTAGTGGGACTGATGCACTGTCGCAGTCGCTCCCAGGCATCTTTCATGATGCCCAAAGAACAGAGTGGAAGGCCTTGCAAGAAACAAGGCTGATTAGCTCAGAGGTGTGATATTTAAGCTAACTAAAACTGATGATTATAGTTTATGTGAAAGAAGAGAGAGAAAAAAATGTAATGCGAGTTATCAGACATGCGAGATCAGATCAGATGTGTGGGATCAGATGTGTGGGATCAGATGTGTGACATAAGACCTCAGAAATTAGATTAGAGATCACATGAGATTAGGCAAGCAAGATAAAGCAGGTGTGGGATCAGACATGAAAGATCAGATATGTGAGATCAGACAGGTGAAATATAAGAGATGCATTATTTGATATATGTGAATTCAGACATGTAAGATGTGAGAAATCAGAAATGAGAGATCATACATCACATCAGATACGTCAAAGATCTGACATGCGAGATCAGACTGGTAAAAGTTGCAACAAATCCAATATGTGTGAGATGAGATCAGATATGCAAGCTATTTGAAATCAGATGTGAGAATTCATACATGCAAGATCAAATATGTGAGATCAGTTATGTTAGATCAGACATGTGAGATGAAACACATGAGGAATTAGAAACAGAAGATCAGACAGTTGATATCAGACATTAAAAAACGGTTTCATCAAAGAACTGAACTGTGATATCAGAGAGGTAAAAAACAAATCAAAGATGCAAAATACCCACTATGTGTGAGATCAGATATTAAATATGTAAGATATGTGAGATCAGATGCAAGGAAACTTACAGATGAGATCAGTTAAGTTCAATGAGATGTGAGATGACAATAAATTAGAAACGTGAGATCAGACAGTTGATATCAGACATGTGAAAGATCAGATATGTTAAAGATCTGACATGCAATATCAGACAGGTTAAAGATCAAAGATGCAACAAATCCAGTATGTGTGAGATCAGATATGTAAGATATCTGAGATCAGATGTGAGAAATCACACGTGAGATCAGATATGTAAGAGATCAGTTTTGTTAGCCGAGACACATGAGATGACACATTACAAAAAAGGAATGTGAGATCAGACAATTGATATCAGACGTGAAAAATCAGATTTGTTAAAGATCTGACATGCAATATCAGACAGTTAAAGATCAGAGACGCGACAAATCTACAGCGGGTAAAATAAGTATTGAGCACGCCACCATTTTTCTCAGTAAATATATTTCTAAAGGTGCTGTTGACAATTTTCACCAGATGTCGTAACAACCCAAGCAATCCATACATATAAAGAAAACAAAACAAATAAGTTCAGAAATTAAGTTCTGTGTAATAAAGTGGAATGACACAGGGAATAAGTATTGAAAACATGGGGGACTGCAAAAAGGCATGGAAAGTCAAGACACCAGCAGAAATCTATCAGTAATTAGAAAGCAATCCTGCCCCTTGTCAGTGGAAATTAATTTTAGCTGGTTTAGTCCCAACTGATGGCCTATAAAAAGGTGTATTTTTACCAACGTGTCACACAAGAAACATTTCATGATGGGTAAAAGCAAAGAGCTCTCTCAAGACATTCGCAACCTTATTGTTGCAAATCATACTGATGGCATTGGTTACAGAAGGATTTCTATACTTCTGAATGTTCCAGAGAGCCAAGGACCACTTGTGGAGAGCTTCAGAAAGATCTGGAATTAGCGGGTACAATTGATTCAAAGAAAACAGTAAAACGAACCTGGATGGAGGGTATGAAAACAACTGCGATGTGTCTCTACATCTAGTTATTGAAAGTAAAATGGATCTGCAATGGATTTCCCACCTGAGCTCTTTGGTGTTGCTGTGCCATGGCTATGGTGATGGCTTTGGGATCCACATGTGCACCTCCATCTTTGTCCACCAGAGAAGAGGTTTGAAGGAGGCTCCTACACAGGAAATGGAAGACCTGGCCCAGGATGGGTGTGCCACCTCCGCCCGGGCACAGCACAGTAGTGGGACTGATGCACTGTCGCAGTCGCTCCCAGGCATCTTTCATGATGCCCAAAGAACAGAGTGGAAGGCCTTGCAAGAAACAAGGCTGATTAGCTCAGAGGTGTGATATTTAAGCTAACTAAAACTGATGATTATAGTTTATGTGAAAGAAGAGAGAGAAAAAAATGTAATGCGAGTTATCAGACATGCGAGATCAGATCAGATGTGTGGGATCAGATGTGTGGGATCAGATGTGTGACATAAGACCTCAGAAATTAGATTAGAGATCACATGAGATTAGGCAAGCAAGATAAAGCAGGTGTGGGATCAGACATGAAAGATCAGATATGTGAGATCAGACAGGTGAAATATAAGAGATGCATTATTTGATATATGTGAATTCAGACATGTAAGATGTGAGAAATCAGAAATGAGAGATCATACATCACATCAGATACGTCAAAGATCTGACATGCGAGATCAGACTGGTAAAAGTTGCAACAAATCCAATATGTGTGAGATGAGATCAGATATGCAAGCTATTTGAAATCAGATGTGAGAATTCATACATGCAAGATCAAATATGTGAGATCAGTTATGTTAGATCAGACATGTGAGATGAAACACATGAGGAATTAGAAACAGAAGATCAGACAGTTGATATCAGACATTAAAAAACGGTTTCATCAAAGAACTGAACTGTGATATCAGAGAGGTAAAAAAAGATGCAAAGATGCAAAATACCCACTATGTGTGAGATCAGATATTAAATATGTAAGATATGTGAGATCAGATGCAAGGAGATGAGATCAAGTAGTGTCACGCTTCATTTTTCAAGTTTCAATTCTCACTAACGAAACGTTAACTATGACTTTTGCCTTAGTAAACTCCTAATTTTCTGCTTATTAATAGTTAGTAAGGTAGTTGTTAAGTTTAGATACTGGGTAGGATTAGGGATGTAGAATATGGTCATGTGCTTTATAAGTAATAATAAACAGACAATATGTTAATAATAGGCATGCTAATAAGCAACTAGTTAATAGTGAGAACTGGTCCCTATACTAAAGTGTTACCAGAAGTAGAATTCAAATGAATTTCACAGCTTTTATAATGTTTGCATTAAAATATGAATTTCATTTTTCAGTGTGAATTACACATACAGCGGGTAAAATAACTATTGAACACATCACCATTTTTCTCAGTAAATATATTTCTAAAGGTGCTGTTGACAATTTTCACCAGATGTCGTAACAACCCAAGCAATCCATACATATAAAGAAAACAAAACAAATAAGTTCAGAAATTAAGTTCTGTGTAATAAAGTGGAATGACACAGGGAATAAGTATTGAAAACATGGGGGACTGCAAAAAGGCATGGAAAGTCAAGACACCAGCAGAAATCTATCAGTAATTAGAAAGCAATCCTGCCCCTTGTCAGTGGAAATTAATTTTAGCTGGTTTAGTCCCAACTGATGGCCTATAAAAAGGTGTATTTTTACCAACGTGTCACACAAGAAACATTTCATGATGGGTAAAAGCAAAGAGCTCTCTCAAGACATTCGCAACCTTATTGTTGCAAATCATACTGATGGCATTGGTTACAGAAGGATTTCTATACTTCTGAATGTTCCAGAGAGCCAAGGACCACTTGTGGAGAGCTTCAGAAAGATCTGGAATTAGCGGGTACAATTGATTCAAAGAAAACAGTAAGTAATGCGCTCAACCGCCGTGGCCTGTATACACGCTCACCATGCAATACTCTATTGCTGAAGAAAAAGCATGTTGAAGCTCGTTTAAAGTTTGCTGCAGAACATTTAGACAAGCCTGTGAAATACTGGGAGAATATAGTCTGGTCAGATGAGACCAAAATTAAACTCTTTGGATGCCATAATACACACCATGTTTGGAGGACAAATGGCACTGCACATCACCCCAAAACATCATGGTGTAGCACTGGCAAAATTCATATAATTGAAGGAAGGATGAATAGAGAAATGTACCGATACATTCTTGATAAAAATCTGCTGCCATCTACCAGGATGATGAAGATGAAACAAGGGTGGACATTCCAGCGAGACAATGATCCCAAACACAGCCAAGGAAACTCTCAATCGGTTTCAGAGAAAGAAAGTAAAGCTGCTAGAATGGCCTAGCCAATCACCTGACTTGAAGCCAATAGAAAATCTATGGAAAGAACTACAGATCAGAGTTCATAGAAGAGGCCCACAGAACCGTCAAGATTTGAAGACTGTGTGGAAAAATGGGCCAAAATCACACTTGAACAATGCATGACTAGTTTCTCCATACAGGATGCGTCTTGAAGCTGTCATTAACAACAAAGGATTTAGTACAAAGTAATTTCAGTAAGCGTGTTCATTACTTTTCCCCTGGGTCATTCCATTTTATTACCCATAACTTAATTTCTGAACTTATTTGTTTTGTTTTCTTTGTATGTGTTGATTACTTGGGTTGTTGCCGACATCTGGTGAAAATTTCATGTCAACAGCACATTTAGAAATATATTTACTGAGAAAAATGGTGACGTGTTCAACACTTATTTTACCCACTGTATGTGTGAGATCAGATATGTAAGATATCTGAGATCAGATATGTGAGAAATCATCCGTGAGAGATCAGTTATGTTAGCCGAGACATATGAGATGACACATTAGAAATTAGAAACATGAGATCAGACAGTTGATATCAGACATGTAAAAAACCTGACATGTTAAAGATCTGACATGCAATATCAGATGGGTAAAAGATTAAAGATGCAACAAATCTACTATGTGTGAGATCAGATAAAATACCTGAGATCAGATGTGAGAAATCATGCGTGAGATCAGATATGTAAGAGATCAGTTATGTTAGATGACATATGCGAGATGAGACACATGAGAAATTAAAAACTACAGATGAGTGAGATCAGACAGGCGATATCAGTCATGCTAGAGATGAAACATGCAATAGATCCAATATGTGTGAGATCAGACATATGAGATCAAACTTATAATAAAATAATATGCTACTTCATACACCACTCACCAATTTTATTTTTGAATGACCCTGAGGAGCTTTTAGATTCATCTGGTGTCTGTGACAAAACAGATTACAAATAACAAAATCAAGAGATGAATTCATTGATATTAAACTAGTGGGAACATGAGAAACATAAATACCTCTCTTTCACTGAATCTTCTCTCAGAAGAAGACTGTAACTCCATCTTTGATCCTAACGCCTCATAGGAGGGTGGAGATCTATGTAGTGAAAGAGATTTATCACATTCAGATTGTTTCACACCCACACATGCAAATGTTTGTAATTGCACACAACACAAACCTGGCCAAGCTGCTCTCAGTGGGCGTCTTTGATGACACACTCTCCTCCTGCCAAGCAGCTCGGACCCCCAGCAGCAGGAAAAGGCAGCGTGAGACCAGCAGGTGGCAGGCTGCTGGGAAGGACAGGCCCTGGTCGGTGATGCTGTGGTGGTCCCAGGGATGCTGGGGGGGCTCCCTGTCTGGCGTCCCAGGGCTCTCAGTGCTGCTGGGTAACGTGCTAGTGCCAGACGACTCGTACACAGTCTCGTTCTGTTGGAGCTGCATGGCCTCACGGGTGGCCAGGAAACACTGCAGCACCTCTGCGGGGAGGAGGACACAAGCAAATAGTTCACAATTACACAATACAACACCAGAGGGAGTATTTTAGAGACAATAGTGTCACATGAATCCCAAAAATGATCAGGGTTGTTACGGTTAATTAAAACTTAAAGGAGACATAGTATGTCCCTTTTTACAATATATAAGTCTCTGGTGTCCCCAGAATGTGTCTGTGAAGTTTCAGCTCAAAATACGCCATAGATCATTTATTATATCATTTTGAAAATGCCTATTTTGAGTGGAAGCAGAAACTCGCAGTTTCTCGGGCCTGTCTCTTTAAATGCAAATGAGCTTCCCCCTATTTCAGAATAGAGCTGCACCATTACAGCTCGGACTTGCTAAAAACATCTGTTTTGGTTTTGATTATGTTTATCGCGCTGAAATCATGCGTTTTAAACCATATGAGTTTAAACTTCTGATATACGGTTTTCTGAGCGCACACATCCGTTGCACACGGACAGAAAGCTGCTGTCACAGCATGTGAGTACTAAACTAAGTTCTCATTCACACACAAGTTTACATTAAAAGCACACGAGTTACAAAAACAGTGGGTTATGTCTGTGAAGGCAAACTGCTGGGAAATAAATAGCGGGTTAATTTTAGATCTGTGTGGCAGCAGCAATATACAGTAAATAAATCAATAAATCCACTGCTGTCTTGTCTCCTTTGAGGCTGGGACTCTAAATAGTGTTCTGTGCACACAGCATGTGAGCACTAAACTAAGTTCTCATTCAAACACAAGTTTACGTTAAAAACACACGAGTTACAAAAACAGTCAGTTATGTCGGTGAAGGTAAACAGCTGGGAAATAATTTGCAAATTTTAGATCTGTGTGGCAGCAGCAATATACAGTAAATAAATCAATAAATCCACTGCTGTCTTGTCTCCTTTGAGGCTGGGACTCTAAATAGTGTTCTGTGCAGCCAAAGACAGAACAGTTAGCATGTTTTGCTCAAACTTTCACCATAACATTAGAGCTGGTACACCGTTTTCGCTTTGCGAAAACACAATGACTGTGCTATGGGTGTATTACATTTACAGATTAAGGTGCGGTAATATTATAATGAGATCCCTTTGCCATGTCACCAAGGGAGCGAAATCAGACGCGCTCGTTTTCTCAGACGCTTGCGGAAAAAGGCTTGCCTAAACAAAGTGATTGGGTTCATCTTTTTCACGTTTCCTTGGTTGGTAGATGCACCAGGGACCTGATTATAGCACTTAAAACCTGGAAAAGTCAGATTTTCATGATACGTCACCTTTAAATCATTAAAACATTTTCATTACTTGAAATAAAATATAACAATTAAAAGGAATAAGAACTGTTGCCTTGGCAAAATAAGTTTAAGTACCAAAATAACAACAACAAAAAAGCTCAAAAAAAGATAGTTTTTTTATGTATACTACATCATTTAAAAAAAACAAAAAAAATGAATGAAAACCGAAAATAATCAATTTAAATCAAATTCAAAATATTAAAAAACCCATAATAGTGTATCAGTGATATTAAAATTACACTGACCATGATAAATCTATTGATAGCATGCAATCTTAAATGTTTATACATAAGACGATAGGTGTCTCAAGATGTCTTTTTAAAAGTTGAACTATTTAGAACAATGACAAAACAGCAAAGTCCTGACAAAAACCTAGTGCATGTTCATACAAAAACACAAATCAAAAACTTTGCAAATGTCCTGTGTGACAATGTTTTTACATATATTTTAATACAAGTTAAGAGAGTAAGTGAAGCATTGAATTAAAGGAAATAAATTATTTTAAGTATTTAATTCCAGAACTGTAGCCCCAAAAAAGTTGGTTAGACACCACAACACTAAGATTGTTAAACAGACCTCATTCTGAGACAAAGAAACCTCTGGTATATATTTCAACAGAAGCACACACTTGCTCTGTGAGGGAAGAACACAGAAAGCAGCATGTTTACCCGGCAGGTACATACTGCTGATGCTGGGCGTTTCCTCCTCTAAGGGATCGTCCTGGTTGTGTTCAGCTGTGTGGGGCTTCAGGCTGCTGGGATCTGTGTCTCTTCCTGTCTGCTCTCCAGAACTGCCCGCTTCCTGCCTCTCCTCACTGGGGCTCTGGGAGCCCAATGAGGCCTGGACACAATGAAACACAGAGTAACAGTGATAATGTTGGTTAATGTTACTTTGTCCCTGGTTAGTGTGCATCAGCATAAAGAAATTGGGAGGTAGGGAAAGTCATTATATTATATTTTATTATGAATGAATGAATGATGCACACCCAGAGCGCTTTACAATCA